ATTGTCAACAGTCACGATGAAAAGCTTGAATAAGAACAGACTGGAAGGAGATGGGAAAAGCAAAGAGAAAAGGAATACAGAGGAAAGAAGAAGAAGTATAAAACCTCGACGGAAAGACAAAAGGAGGGGAAAAAAAGAAGAAAGACAGGCATCCATTCTTGAATTTCCCCGCTTACTGCGCCATTTATGCCCACCTCTAGTTTCGCCCATATAGCAGCACTCCATCCATTTAAATGAGGGACGAACTTCGAATTGTGCTGAGCTGTAGGTGGGAAAGTTGAACGTGTTCACTCCCCTGCTGCCTTGTGGGTCTGTTTTTGACACCTCTTCACTTCTCTCGCTGCGCCATTCGGACAGCTCTTTTAGTGACAGTAGTCTCTGCCGGTATTCAACTTGTCCATTAAAAGAAAACTGTGCCAAGTAGACACTCACAACCAAGATAAATTAGTGACACAAAAGCAGCCTTTTTAATAACCAACTTTCTCTAAAGGTACTAAAAACTTTCCCACTTTTCTTTACAATATTTTACCGATAACAGTTCATCAAATATCTTTAAAATCATGTCCATCAAAATTTCCTCTAATATTTGAAAATGGATTTGATATTTCTTGAGGATTAGATTCCATACATCTAGCGGTTGGATCCTGCCTACCAACGCTTTCTCCCTTGAGAGGAGGGAATCGCATGAAAAATGAGGAGGAGCATTTGAGAATGCAGTTGATTACACCCATGGGACGTGGCCATGGCCATTCCAGGGGACTGAGGCACTTCATTAATCATTCACACACGGAAACCATTTCGCAGACTCTTTGTTATGCCTCTCCTGGGGAGGAAGGGCAGAAGGAGGGGCTGACAGCCTTCACGCATTCCTCCAACCTCTGGCAAAACGCTCAATTCTTTTTTCTTTAAAATATTTGGCATGCTTAATATTTGATCATCTTTAGCTCTAAATCAGTAAAGTATTTTTTTGTTTTTTTGTCATGTCTAGTGGTCGAACTCATTACTTATGCGCTACGAAGCTGAAGGGCTTTGAGTCCTCACTGAAGTGCAGCTGAGTGTTGACATGCAGAGGGGCTGGAGGGCCAAGATGGAAGTCAAACATTACTTGTTACGGCATCCTCCAATTCAGAAGGTCGTTTTCCACTCTTGCAGCTGGGTCATCCCAACGTGGTCTGCGAGTTTAGCAACCGCACAGAGGCTTGGAAGGCAGTCATTAAGTTTCAGAGAAGATGACAGCTTAAGAATTACTGGTGAGTGGAGAAAGGTGATCATTAACTTTTCCTGAAGGCATAAAGACAGCGTACATCTCCTTCTCTTGTGACTTAGAGCGTCCGTGTTCGTTGTTATTTAGGCCATTAAATTAGGCGTTAGCTCTATTTGTAGAAAATTGTGCCCACGGCTTCTCCAAATCTCCTGTTCTGAGTCCTTGGGGGGGGGTGTTAGTCATCAACCACACCTGTCAAAAGCGCCACATTTTATCACGCAGTTTCTTTCTAATGTAGTGGAGTGGAAGAAGAGTAGTACATAACCAGCATGCAGAAGAGCTCCACATCTGTAGCTTAGACTGCTACGCCGCGGGGACGAGACTTTCATGTTACAGCTATATACTACTAACAGAAGCAAAGTGTTGCATCACTATGTCACATTTTGAATTATTTCACCCCCTTTTTTTAAAGAAGGGCCATTTGACATCTTTTCGTCTAATGAAATAATTCATTTTTCTTCTTTGTAATATTAAGGCAAAATTAAAGCATATCAAGATCAGTGGATTCCGAATTCAGTAGTTTTGGCGCATGATGTCAAAATCTCTAATAGAAAAAGTAGATTTGACAGGTTTGCTTCTTGATGATTAGGTGGTAATTGCAATAGATCAGCGTTTTAGTAACAAATATATCGGAAAGAATTCCTATCGTTACAGACAAGATAATTATTCTTTTCTGAAAAGGGAATACCACCCCCTAAACCGGATGCATATATGGACTGTCTGCGATAGATTTTGCTTCATACAGCTCTTAACAACTGTCAAAGTAAACTTACGTGTCACGTATATGTGACGTACGGCATTTTTCCTTTCAAATTTTTAGAAGGAAGGGTATTTACTGTAAGAATTACAAAAAAATCTGGAAGATAAGGTGATATTTTCCACCTTTATACCCCAAGGTGATAAATTCTTCATGACCGTGAGAGAGAATTAAATGCATTTTTTCCTACCAACTGATTTATTAGTCCAGGCTGTTTTATCGAAGCAAGGCAATTCTGCCCACCTTTAAGTTGTGCCAAGTAGATGAATCTCATTCGTGTGGGAATGTAGCGGCACGTACCCTTTACAATCTACGGTTGATCGGCAGTAGATGGAGGGGAAGGACATTTTACATCACAGGCCAGTCGGTTAGTCAAGCATCACACAATTACATGATCTGTAACCGCATATATGGAAGAAATAAGGAACACGTAAATAATACTTCAGTCCTATTGTCACCTCCTCGAGCGTGGTACAGAAGGTGCGTTTGTTTAACAGGTAGTTCATGGCTTTCCCCGCTGATGCAGTTGCCAACAGCACGAGGAAAATGGTCACGAGCTGTTTTCCATACCAAACTCTGAGGGCAATTTAAACAACAGCCAGGTGTTATTTCCTATTTTGCTCCAATTTCTTCTTTTCGTTCACAAAGGGGGAGTGGTCCCTCCTCAATGTGATGAGGAACCTGCCTCTCAGAGATTTACCACCAGAACCAGTCAATTTTCATAAACCACTTCTTGGTGGCAATTTTTTGCTGTAAAACTTTCATTTAATACCGACATGATAAAAGTAACCTTAATCCAGTTTCACCGATATGCTATAGAAAAAGGTCTTTTAAATAAAGACAAAAGTGGTAAAATTGACACAATAGAGAGTGCTTCACCATCTGTGGAGCACCAGTTTAAAAATTCCTACATTCTGGTTGGATTATTCGAATCACACCTAAGCTGTGTTTCCTCCACAAAAAATGAAGAGACGATTCAAACGGAAATTCCTCTTCCAAAATGCACCCAAATTAAGATATGTTGTCGTTAACACATTAATTTTTCTTGCATCCTCTAGGCGTGCACATAAAGCTGATCCTCGCAGAGGGTCTAGTGGCGAGGAGGAGGTGGCTGGAGGTAGCGGTGAATTGGTTGCGTGTCTGAATGAGTAATGAGGTACATTTCCCTTCCTCCTCCTCCGCTGCCTCCACTCCGTATCCACTCAAATCGCTTCGCTGGCCCAGTCATGACTCAATCTTAGGGTGCTCAAGGATTTTAAAGTCATTTTCTGATGCTAAAACAAGGTAAAAGGTGAAATTTAAAAAAAATGCAGACCCAAAAGAACATTTTTAACGTTTTAAAGCAAGGATGTGTCTATATTTGGCAACGCGATAAGTTGGTTATTTGAAAATTTTCTCCTTTATCAAGAATACGTCTTGGTTGAGGTTGTTTGCGTAACGCAGTTTTTTGGGTAGAAAAGAAACGCAACCTCCAAATTAATCGGTTTGGTAGCGTGAAGCGAGAGGTGAAGTGGGGTCACAAATTAACTGATGAGGGGGCAGTGGAGTGAACTCACCCAACTTGCTCAAATTCAACTCGGCACATCATGTCATGTCATTTGCTGTTAAATGGAAACTCTTCCTTCATTTGGCTGGGGCCAGTGCTGCCACACGAGCACGCATTGAGGTAGGGGATAGCTGAAATTGGCCTTTTGAAAATGACCGCCAATCTTTCCTCTATCCTTCTTTACTTCTATCCTTCCATTCGCCCTTCCTTAAACCTACATCCTTCTACGCCCATCCCCCCTTACCCACTTCTCATCACTAAACTTTTTCTTTTTCTTCCTTCTTCCATAAATTAACCTGTTGACTACGCATGCTACGTTTAGGGAAAAGAGAAACAGTGATGGCAATGGTTGGAGACACAAAGAAAAGTTGGCAAATAAAATGAAGCGCCTAGCTCTGTGAAAGGGAAAAATGTGGTAGCAACAGCATCCGCCCACAACTGACATGAAGGAGGAGGAGGAGGAGGAGGTGAAGGCGGCTGTGTGTGTGTATGTGTGTGGAGGGGGAATTCACTTAGTGACTGTCACTTTCCGTCTGTCCGACATGCCTTCCTGACTTCTGAAAAAGACCAGAATACAGAAATGTTTGTCTGATGCTCCCTTGTGATGCGTTTTGCTAACACCGATGGAGAAGTGGGAAGGACTGCAAACAGGCACCATAAGGAAGGGGATAGGTGCGGTTGGAAATGATCAACTCAAAGTGAAGCAAGTATACCGCATGACCAGTGTCCACACAACTTCAGGGTGCACTTTGCTGTGCAAATAGTGGTAAGGACTACGTTGTCCACCAGCAAAGATCAGGTAGAGTTGGGCGAAATGCACTTCATCAGCTTCAGCAACGGAATGGAGGCTCACAGCAGCATCGCGAGTGTAGCAGGTGACAAGAGGACAAAGGCGTTTGGTGAGGGTGGACTTGAGTGGGAAGTCGTGGAGTGAGTCAACGAAAATGTGGTACGGTTGGATGATGCTTGAAAACACGTCACTGAATGGGAGTGATTTGGACTGTGGAGGACAGGTGAAGTGCAAAATGTGATGTGCAAATTGACGTGTACGCCAAGGGATAATGTGTTGCTACTGAAGTGATGGTGAAGGCGTCATCGTTAATTGTCAATGGAGGTGTGGTGGTGGGTGGGTGAGGATGGTGTGCGATAGCAGCTGTAAAGTGGTGGTAGGAGTGGATGTGGTGAGTTGATGGTGTGATGAAGGTGGATGAGTGGATGCGTTCGTCTACACGATGAAGGTAACGCAAAGGAGGACGTGAAGACGGTGGCAGATGATGGGCATTGCATCAATGGAGTGTCCGAATCATCACAGAGTAGAGGAGAAGTGATGCGACATCAGACGAACATTGAGAACTCGTTGAAAATTTGTTAACCCGTGAATTCTTGCGAAGGACGACTGTCGTTCAACATTTAACTGTATGCGGGCAGCATTGGGAGGGGAAGGGGAGAGGGGAGAGCAAGGTGGAGAAGGAAGAAAGAAAGATGAGTGTCTGAACAATTAGTGACGGATTCGTTGATTTGACGAATTCACCGCCTCATCCTCTTCCCTCTTCTCGTCCCTTATCTTCTACCCTTTATTTCTCTCTTTTCGTCGCCTATCTTCTTCCCCTAATTTTGCTACTGCTGTTATTATTGCCGCTGCTGCAGGAGACGGTGCCCTCTCTGCCACTGCTGCCACCATTCGCAGAATCTTTTATCTCTGGCAGCATCGTAGTTAGCCGAGAACGAATTGTTTGTTTGGGCAGTTCAGTTAGTCGTTCCATCATTAAGGCACTGGTTGGCCCGTTTGCTCGTTTACTCGTCCGCTCGTTCTTTCGTGCATTCATTCCCTTGCTTGTGCGTTCTTTCGTGCCTTCGTGCGTGCATTCGTTGGAGTTTTTTCCATCCCTGTCTAGTTTGATCCTTTGCACTCTTGCTTACTCCCTTTTCTCTCCTCTCTCTCGTCTCGCTACCCAATCCACCCTCTATGCAGCAGAAGCAGTGCATCTGTGCGAATTATGCCTTGGTGACCAAACACACCTTTGGATAATTCCACACCTATGCCTGCATAGAACTGTCTCCCTTCCATTATTCCTATAGCGAAATAATTCCACTTTCTGGAACCA